AAAAAAAAAAAAAAAAAAAAAAAAAAACATAGGATATTGATATTGTAAATTAATAACCAAACAATGTTCAGGAGTCCAATGCTCACTGAAGGATGAAGGAGAAGAGTACAAAATTCGGACACCGTTTAAGTCCATTCTTAAAAAGGGACCAAAATGACCCGCCATTATTAAACCACATGTAATTTGATCAAAGGTGGTGTGTGGCCTAGCAAAGACTGAAACACTCATGGAATGCTGCGCTGGTAAAGAGGCAAAGCTCCAAGTGCTTCACGTTCAGCACTCTCCCTCTTAACCTGCAGTTACATTATAAACGGACATCAACTTTAGAAGGAGAAACCTGAATCATGCATAACCCATATGAAAATAGGACTTTTCAGCCACAATACAACTTAGTCAGAGTCTACATTAGCACAATATCATGCGCACGAATGGAAGTAGTAAGGTTATTCGTAGGTCCCCGTCGCTGGTTTACTTGCAGTTAAATAATATTTCATATTGATAATGAAATTGTTGTCGAAACTGCTAAGATATGCATGAAATCATAAATAGTAGACACTTACAAGAGCTAGCATCTCTTGAAGATAACTCCTGAATGGTGTCTGCATCGCCTATGAAAGAATATAGAAGAAAAAAAAAAATGAATGAACAGCAAGACTAGCAAACTAAATGAAGACTAGAAAATAATAACATATCAACAAGATAGGTCGACAAGGATCATAATTGATATCCATTTATCAATTCTAAGGAAAGAAGCTAACGAGTTAGAGTTGGATAATCAGATATATATATTTTTTTACATGGTAGCATTCAAGGAAAAATATTTTCCGACTTTTGCTGTCACTTGTATGGTAGGAGGGATAAGGCAAAAGCCAAAAGGTGATAAAGCTACCAGCAAGAGTAATTAATAGATATAACCCCCACCCACCCACTTCCATAAGGAAAAAAATAAAGAGTAGTACAGTAGAATGTGATAAGAAAACCGAGTCACACAAGTGCCCAAGCAATTTAAACAAAACAATTGAGATTGTGAAACTAACAACTACAAGTATTCTTCCTTTGCGTTATTATTCTGTTTTGGAAATCAAACATCAGGTGAATCAAGAAAAATATCATAAAAATAGCAAATATCAGAATAAGGTGCCGACTGCCGACGTATTAAGAACGACCTCCCAGAAAAGATAGGAAAAGGAAATACATGATGCACAGATGTTTCAGCATACACATATAAGTACATATATGGTTAGTCATTTCATCAACTGCCCTTTATATGTTCACTCAGAAATGTCTCAGTTATTATAAATTAATTCACAGCACATAAAAATGGTTGTTTTAGCTCAAAAGTACAAAATGCACAGCCTTCTTAGGGTATTCAGTAGAGATTGGAAAAGTGAATCATGGGAAGGGAAAGCAGGTATGGAATAAAATAAGTAACGCAGTATTGGAAGCACAAATCACAGGATTTGCTGGAATCATGATACCCTGCTTAGCACGGAAAGCTAGTGAATCATTATCATATTTATTCTTTGTTATTCTATTACCTTATATAAATAATATGCTTATAAAAGGGGAGTGAAAAAGTGAGAATGAGCCATATAGAGAAATAATAACCTTGTGTCCTTGTCTATATGTTTCTACATAAAAATATTTAGATTTTGTTACATCGACCCTTTACTCCTATCAATTGGTCCGACCTGCCACTACGAGGGGCACATATGGAATCCCAAGTTGAAGCCATGGAGAAGGGTTAGGAGGAGGTGCTCGAGTGCCGACTTACTAATGTCGAAGAGACCATCAACAATTTACGGAGTTGGCCACATGAATTTTATCAACCAAGAACAACGTTCTAGCCACCTCCAAAGTGAATCATGCCAACATTCAGTCTACTATGGATTCAAGATCCTCGGTTACCGTGAATCATCATGCGGAAATTTTAAAATTTGAGAGTGGCTGGAAATAAACTCTCTCCAATTCCTCTGTTCCACCAATTTCGGTGCAATCGGCTTCGCAGCCTGATGAGAATGCTTCTCCAACCCATAGCCCGTTTGGATCTCTTCACGCTTAATGAAGATTTCCTCATTGTTGAGTAGTACCCTCACATTTCTCATACATCAAGGCCGAATTTTTGTTTCTTGTTGATGGAAAATGTCCTCTCTTGTCCAACGGAGGACTGGAGGCTATAATTATTCATTCCAGTCTACGTGACAAGACTCGTGGACCCTATGCAACAATCAACGATGTTCTCTTTTAGAAGGTATATCTAGTTTTGCCATTTAATCGGAAAAGTATTTTGCTTCTCAGCCTTAAGAAGAAAGTTGTTTTCTCGCAGGCGGCCATGATAGAAATTGGGTAAGTAAATTGTGGGAAGGGAACACACATATGGAATAAAATAAGTAACAAGATATTTGAAGCACAAAATCATTGGCTGGAATTATGGGATTCTGCTGGCATGGAAGGCTATCAATCGTTCTCTTATTTATAATTTGTTATCATATTACCTTAAATAAAGAATATGCTTATAAGAGGGGGTCGAGGAAATGAAGATTAGGCATAGAGAGAAATAATATTGTTTCTCGACTTTTAGCTTGGGCGCGAGATTATTTCCTGAGGAGAACCTCAAGTCTTGTTTATGCTTTAGCTTTACTATATAATAATTTCTAGATTTATTACATTGACTCTTTACTCCTATCATAAATCATAATTGCTTCACAGTGACTTATTAAGCAAAAAAATGCCACAAAAAAGTACGAGGAAGAAAGAAGATTCTTGATTATTTCCTTCCTAAGTGAAAAACGACAGTTAACAGGCATAATTACAATGTAGTCATTGCCTCAACAAATGGTCGGGTGCAACTAGATATGCTATCGTTGAAAAACCTTCCTCCCACTAAAGAGTAAAGAAAATGCTTGGAAAAAAATTTGGAGAGAAAAAGAACAATTTAAAAGTGTAACTGGATGGATAGGTAGAAATGTAGGGAAAAGGTTAGATGAGCCAATAGTGTACACGAATAGTTGAAAATTTTGATATACAATCACAACTTAATACAAGACCTTAGCACTTATTACACAGCATTTCAGGTCAAAATTGTTAATTTCTAATGCCAATGCTACCGAAGTGACATTTTTTTGCACAATCTTTTCCCCCACAGAAAGATAACTATTAAATGAATTCAATAATAGCTACCACCGTTGCAACTGGTAAATAGGGTACCTTGCTCATACAATGGCAAAGGAGAAACACACACTCCGACAAGGAGATAATTAAATCATTCCGCAAGGGGAAACAAGACACACCACAAACCTCAGGGCACAAGCAACAACCACACAAGACAAGCCAACTAAAGCTACTCTTCTATAGGTTAAGCTTCTCTCAAGAGGCTCAAACAGAAGCACAAAGAGAGGATACACTCACTATTATCTCACCCCAACCCAATATCTACAAATAATTCCCAGTTTTCTGAGCAAACCGAAAACAGCCTCATGGATCCCTATACTCAAACATTGCCTACAATACAATAATCAATCCTGGATGCTACTATATTAGCATTCAGAAAAGAAAAACAGCATTTGCACACTCCCC